AGAGAGAGAGAGAGAGAGAGAGAGAGAGAGAGAGAGAGAGAGAGAGAGAGAGAGAGAGAGAGCAAAGGATCCCCTTCACACGTATCAGAGGGCCCATGCCGGTAATATGAAGGGTCCTCGCAGCAATTTAGCAAGGACCCTCCACCACAATTGAGGCAGGCAGTGAATACGAAGTGGAGCATGAGCTGCCTGAATATATACTCAGGATTCGTCTTCACCTCTGTGTTTCAGCAGTTATGGGTTGCTCACTTTGCTAGGCCCTGTTGGTCTCTGCATGTGATTCTCAGGCATTGGCTGCAGTACTAACCAAATGTGCAGAATTAAAATGAATTTTCTGCTAGAACATGGAATAATGAGGGTGAATTTGTTTATTCCCCTCCTGGAAGAGAAGAAATTGGCCACACGGGTGGTATGCCTTACTTTCCACCTCGGTGATGTTCTTTTGGGTGGGGCCTTCTATCTAAGACAAACCTCGTGGTATTAATATACTTATATCTATCCATCAATACAAGACATTGTAAGTTTATTAGCTGCGGAGCCTCTATGGGTGCTGAGCCCACAAGAGCACATGCCGTCCGATCTCTGGATTGGCAGTCACAGACACGTGGTGCTTTCTTAGTTTTCCTTTGTTCTGTTGTTTTGTGGACAGGTGGTGCTTGGATCGTTACCCTTTGTTAAGTGTTGTTTTGCGGACAAGTGGTGGTTGCTTTGTTGCATTTTTAGAGCCGCTGACAATGTCAGAGCATGGAAGGCGTCCAATAGGGAGTGCGAAATCCCCTTCTGTTCTTTTTTTTTGTTGTTGTTGTCTAAAACAATACTCTATAGCTAAGGGGGCCGGGGGGGGTATGCTGTGCGTTGATTTGTTGCTTATTTAGGATTGTTGGCCTTTCGATCTTCATCGGGACAGTCTGAGGGCCGCTAAGCTCTCCAGTGTCAGCGTTCTTGCTTCAAACTCTGCTCTGCAATTGGAATCTGCAGCCATACAAAATGCTATTACCCTTTTTTTTTAACTTCAGGGCAGGAGCCCACTTAATCGGGCGATAAGAGCAGCCCTCCTATTTTATTGCCATCCAGAACAATTTTTTTTGTTCTGCTTGCAATTTTGTAGTTGTTTTGTGGTCGTCAGGTTTGGCAATTTGACGTTGCTATCTTAGCATTTCTTCATATGGTATATATCGTCCTATGAACCAATCTCTCTTTGTGTCCCTCACAGATGAGCAGGCTTCCGTGTAGCAAGCAAGCGCTTGCAGGGCAACTCTTTACAGACGGCCTCCCGATATGGCGTATAGATAGACTTTGCATGGTGAGGACTTCTGAAACGTGCTTTATGCTGTGTTGGTGGTTGCTTGACTGCTGGGCTCTGTGTCTTTTCAGATCTCTCGTCTCAGTGACGGGATGGAACAATTCTTGGGGCAGGAGAAAACCATTCACAGATTGTCATTGTCTCTGGAGGAGGCACGCATGGAAGTGTCCTCGCTCAGGAGTCTCCTGGGATACCAGTCGGGAAAGACAGCGTCGGCCTCTAGTGCATTCCGTGGAAACCTCCACTCGCGTAGTTCTGAAAGCATGCGATCTCCATTCCATGCCAAAGGGGACATCTCAAGGACGCGTTCGGATCCAGAAGTTTTGGGCGGGCGTGACAAGAAGAGATCCGTCTGGAAGCGATATATGAAGAGTGAGGATATGTCTGAGTCTATTACCTCTGACAGTGAGTCGAAGCTGTGGCAAGCTGCAATGGCCTCCCCTCGGCAGAGGGAGACATCAACCGACCAGCCAAGCACAGATGAAGGCAGCACAAACTTCAGCGAAAGTGGTACGTTGCTGTGATTGTGAAGACGTCTCTCAGCAATGACCTGTGTTGCTTTTCGTTCTTCATGTCTTTGCAGTTTGATGTGGCTATGCAGGTGCATTTGCTGGAACCGGTTTCCTTCTTTTTTTTTTAAAGACTCGAGCAGCAGCGGTATACCAGGCGGAGTGAACCAGTTTCCTAAAACGACCTTGTAATCAGAGTGGAAATGGATGGGAAACTAAAATGAACCTTGTCTCATCGCTTTGTATCTGTTGTGAGATCTCTCTGTCCGCCCATTTTTTAGCATGTTGGGCTCCAGACCCTCTCTGTATGTGTAATGGCATTCATGTCTAGGGTTGTATCCCCTCAACGGACGATTGGCAGTCCTGTTAATGTTAAACCACAACTTGACTGGCCTCTGGGCATGGACCGTTTTCTGTGTACGGAAGAGGAAACTCTGGCTGCTGCATCGGCAATCCAATGGGCTGAAAGGGCAGTCGCAAAAAGGGGAGTGGTGAGTTTAGGTGGTGGTATGGGGGGCACCAAACCATTGAATCTTCCCTCTTTGGCTTTTTCCCTTCTCTAATAAGAGAATTCACAACAGGGATGCCGTTATTGTGGCAGATCATACCCTGTGCACACAGTGTTGGACCTTATGTACTCTAATATACCAGAGTACACCCCAGTATACTCCAATATTCTCCAATATATCCAAAATTCCCCAATTTCCACAATATGCTCCATAATATCCCAAGGTGCCCCAATGTGCCCGTGTACCCCAATATACCCCAATATATCCCCATGTATTGTAGTTGAGGCACCTATGTTTATTTGGAGGCTTTGAACCCTGACGTGTGATTTCCTTGATAACTTAGGCTCTCTATTCACTTGTTGTTGTCTTTCTGATCAGCCAGTTTGTTACTTGCACAGAGCAATGTGTTTTTTTTTTTCTTTTCTTTTCTCCCCAATGATTTTAAACAGAGCCCGATCTATTGGTTGGGGCAGCACCTATACTTTTCCTAAACAACAGAATCCACTCCCATAAAACCCACTGTAAAACAGGGTCTGATTACGATATCACTCCCTTCGCTCCCAAGTGGATCGTAGATCCTCAGGTGCATGCTGTCCAGCTCACAGGGAAATTGGGGCTGGATTGGCGTGAGAAGTCATCCCCCACGCCATTCCATTTCCGGTCCACCATTGATGGGGAGAGGGAGGGGGGGGTGGGGTGGGGCGGGGGGGCCGGGGGGGGGCGGGGGGGCCGGGGGGGGGGGGGGGAGAAGTGGTCAGTGAAAGGACATGCCTGTTTTATTCCACCTGACTGACATCGATGGATATCCAGTCCTTAAACACTGGATCAGGCATCCCATTTTGCTGTGTGCGGACACTTGCCATTGAGCCTTCCACGGGATATTCCAACGATTCAGACCAGAAGTCGTTTAGGATGTCTTGTTTCTTTTGTTCACCTTTTTCGGGCTTCCATGTGCCAAGAGCGACCTTGCCCTTATAAAAGTTTTGCGTACCTCGTGGATGACCTCCGTAATAACATGTTCATCCTCCTCACGACCACTCCGATGACCCGAACATAGGCCCAGAGCGTCCCGGCATCCTCCTGATAGTGACAATATCCACCTTGCATGACCTGAACGAAGGATGGTTCTCTTTCTCCCTCCTCCATTTCTCCTCACCTATCAGTTTCTTCCGCAAGGCGTCTCACCTCACCATCCATGTTGGAATAGCTCATGGGCGAGCTGGAAAGATGTGTACCATTGTTCTTGAGATCTTCCAGAAAGGGAAATTTGACTGACAAGTGGCACACCAGCTTTTTTTTTTTTTTTTTTTTTTTGAACACAAGCTCCAAGCCTGTTTCTGGAAATGAGCTGGTTGTCTGTGGCGGAGGCATCGGTGAATAACTTACCAAAGGACAGACTTGCATCTGTGAATGAAAAACCCGACTCCCAACATGTGGGTGTCCAATTACTCGGATAAGGAAGGTGTCGAGTCATCCACCCATCCATCACCCTCCTACCACCACTTAAGGAATGCGCCAGCTAGAGGAGTTCATGACTTTGAGAGCCAGAACCCAACTACGTCCTCCGTATTCTTGTGGGATAGCCAATCCTCTTTCTGCACAACCTCCCCCTTTAGCCATACGGAGCAACATGGACTGCGCCTTGCTCTTATTTGTCCTTTGTTTGCTACCGATGTTCTTCTAGGCCTATGACATCATCCCGATTCTCCATGTGGCATGCTGCTTGCGCTGGTCCTCCTGTGTCCATTTTGCGCGATTGCCAACGTGCAAATAGTCGTTGCACCTTCCTCCAACCTTATGACATCACCTAGGGGAGGCCGTTATGTCCTGCCAGAACTTCAGCCTCATTAAATTTTGCTGTGTGCTGCACGCCACCTGCCTGTGTGATAACGAAACTGATCAGCCCGTCACTCAGATACTCCATTTGGAGTTTTTTTCTGACAGAGTTACTTTCCTGGCAGACTTGCCAAATCTTTGGCCTTACTGTTTTTTTTTTTTTTTAATTATTATTATTATTATTAATTTATTATTATTTTTTACAATTATATGCCAGAAAACGGGACCGGCGTCCCTTACATATAAGCCGCAGCCGTACAGGACTGGGAAAAGCACTCTCGACCATATAAGCCGCAGCCATACAGGGCTGGGAAAAGTACTCTTGACCAATCCTATCCCCGACTGCAGCCAACAAATGAATCAAAGGTTACTCAAACTTTATTTGCTACTAACCAGCCATTGAAAAGCAAGAACAGTACAATAGAGAAAATTGGAATCTGGAGCAACTCAACTGAGGGAACAAGAGGCTCCCTACTACCCACCGACTAACCAATATCGTCACCAAATTTCGGATTACTATGCCGCAGTACTCCAATAATGTAGTTAGTATCCCCTAATTACTCCACAGCCCTAATATGCTAATTAAGAAGCGAATGTAGTTACGGTTCCCCTACAAAAATACTATTTCTATTTTCGTTTTTACCTCCCCCCTGCCAGACTACTATTCCCCAGTGTTCTAATTAGTATGCCTTAATTACTTCACAACCGCCGCCAGTTCCGTAGATTAAAAGGTTCTAATTCGTCAATTAAACCACCAGTTCTTGGCCCAGCAAATAGCGTAGAAACGTTTCTAGTCGGATGAATTTGGGCGCTCCTGTAGTAGCCCGTACGTTTCCTAAAATCGTGGCGCGTTAACGGGCACGACTCTAGGAAGTACTGGTGGTTTAAGTACGGAATGTAATTCAGCAGACAAAAATTCACCCAGTCATATTACTAACTACATAACAGAAATGACAACAACACCGTGTGAAGCTGACCGTTGCAATCCAAGTCCTTCCCGCCGATGAACGGAACGCCACAGGTTGGTGACCCTGATTTGGTCATGTGGCCTTTCTGAATTATGCTGTATACTGTGCGCCTGTCTGTAACGAACTGATCGTCCTGTCTGTAACAATTTGATTGTCCTGTCCCTCGGACTTTCCATTTGGGAATTTGAGTTACCATCCCTGCAGTCTCCAAGGTTTCGTCTATTTCAGTGGCCTTTTTTTTTGTTTGTTTTTTTTAACACGTATTTCGGTGTTCTTCGCTTCTGCAAAAGTTGTGCATTCTCATGTTCTGTCTCTCTCCTTGCAGCAGTTTCAGTCTTGCCAAGTTGTCCACAATGTGGGCTTTCTGTTATTTCCCCCCCAGTTATCCATGTGCTCTACAGAGTCATTTTGGCTGGCAATGTCTTTTTTTATTTTAAACACCCGTCTGGGTGTTAGGGGTGCTGATAAGAGCAGACACCGCTAGGCCCATTGGGGGGGCTGGCAATCAGTCTAACGCTGCATGCGGAGCTCTGTGTCATTGTGGCAGCAGGGTCAAGGGATGTCGTCTTCTTCTTGTTTCTTTTAAAAAAAAACCAGGTTGTTGTAGAGGCTGGATTGTAGATAGGTGGGAGTCACCTTCTGCACTCGGCCATGTGGTAGAGGCCCCCTAATCCTATGGGACTCCCTCCCAACTTACCACTGTCATGGGATGTCTTGATCATTTGGCAGGTTGTAGTTCGTGGCAGCTTTTTTTGTGTGGGTGTCATTGTTATGTGGACTGCTGTGGTGCGAGCTCACGAGTCCAAGGAGCGGTCTTGTGCTGCTTATGCACAAAATGAGGTGCAAACAGGTTGCACTGCGATGCTCTCCGATGTGTTGCGTATGCTCAAAACAAGGCGTACGGTCCTGTTTCACTTGGTTTTGTTTGTTGCCCTTTCTCCGTTCTGGTAGGTTAGTGAGTCCGTGTTAGGGCCGGTTTTGTTCCTTTCTTTGTTCGGGAGGGGTTCTTAAGGATGTGTTTTGGCTGTTTTTTTTTTTTTTTTTTACCTTCGGCCCATGCCCTATCGAGTCTTTCATCTGTGCTTGGGACGGGCTATCAGATGTACAATGAGGGACGCTGCCATTTTTTAGCAGGTGCAGCTCCCCACCCATAGATGGAGTCTACCGGAGGACCACTACGGGACGGCGCTCTTATCGCCTCTCCTAGTGTTGCCCCTATCGGAAGTTCAAAAAAAAAAAAGACAAGTTTATTAGGTGGTCAGTTTTTTTCATCGTTTTGTGCTCTGGTAGGAGTGCCCTGTAATAAAATAAAAAAGAACGTGTGGCCTGTGATGCTTCGTTCCTCAAGGAAAAGGGTGTGGGCCTGTCACACACGCACACAGTTTGTGCTTCGAGTGCTGGATGGGGTGTGGTCCTGGCACACACACGCAGGTTGAGGTACAGAGAAACTGCTGAACTAATCGAGGTAGAAGTTTGGGGCTCTGTCTACAAGGGTGGCACACTTTAAAAAAAAAGAAAAAGTGTGAAAATGAGAACTGAAAAAATCTTTTTTTTTTTTTTTTTTGCTACTAGGAGTGGTGATTTCGTCTCTCTCTAGTAGGCCACCCCAGTGTGACGATCTATTCGTAGGGAGCGGCACCTGCTGTATAGCTCTGTGCGAAAGAACTCGGGAAAGTCCGTGAAAATCAACAGAATCTTGCTGCAATGATGTTCAACTCCTAGAAACGTCCTTGTCTGACCTGGTGAAGTATCATTATGATGAGGATGAGATCAATTGGCAGAGATGGAGAAGCCAGCCGGACAGTTTGTCCTCTACCTCCCTGGGATGAGAACTTGGGGCAAGATCCCAGTTGCTCGGATACTTGATTCTTCACCGCGAGATCAACAACTAGAAATATGGAACCCAAAAAAAAAAACTAGGATTTTGTTTTGACTGCATTTTTTTTTTTTTTTTTTTTTTTTTTTTTTGCTTAAAGCCCTCTTGCAAGGCCTCTATCCCAGGGGCGGTAAGAGAACCACCAGGATTGAGGCTTCAGATGTTGGGCTGCGCCATCTATTGGTGGGGAGTGGCACCTGCTAGAAACCGTGCCCAGCGTCCCATAGATACATCCACTGAGTTCAATTGCGGGCTATAGCAATTTGTTGTTCTAGTCTAGAGCATCCATGTCCCGTGGAGCTGCTGATAGTCCCGTTCCCTTCCCGGGCCTCCTTCTTATCATCTGGCTCAGCCCTCACCTAGAAGGTGTCCGCCATTCTTTCTTGCTGGTCCCAAACTACTTCCAGGTGTCCGCAGCCCCCCAATATCTCTGGCAGCCTCCTCCCCATGAAGGCTGTCTGTGTGTGCTTAACCTTAATCCCTTGTTGAACTCTTCACTCTTGCATTGTAGGTGATCCTTTCTTTCCTCATTGTCTCTACCAGGGCAGCTGAATTGTGGCTTTCCCAGCCCCTGCACTGGGAGGCAGCCAGCTATCCATGCCTGGAATAGGCATCATACTCCCTTCCTCTCCCTGAAAACCAATATTCGCGTGCATGACTTCATCAGGTTTGACCGATGCCTTGGTACTAATAGCTTTCAAATTATTGTGAACCATTTAATATTGCTTTGCATGTCTTCAAAGTTAAAATCCAGATTTTGATTCCTTAGACCCCAAACATTATATTTGTGGAAAAGGCGTCCACACCTCTTGGGCAGGGATGGTTGTAGTTTGTCCGTTTTTGGAAATGGATGTCTTGAAGAGAAGGAACACCCTTTATTTTCAGCTTTGAGCGGTGCTTTGGGTACTTGTGACGAAATTGAAATTTGGAACTCACAACAATACGGACAACATCGACGATTTTTTTTTTTTTTTTTAAAAGAAAAAAATCGGTGCTAATATGGACAACATAGATGAGCAACCCCTGCTAGTAGGTGCCTCCGGTTGCTCCATCTATTGGTGGGGGGCTGCACCTGCTGGAAATCGGGTCCAGTGGCCCTAACAGAAATTTTCACAGAGGGTGTTACATTCAGAAAAGTAATGTGATCCCGCCAGCTGTTATTGCCCCAAGTCCTCTGGGGGATTAACTGCGCGGGCTACTATTTGCCACTTACATCATCCCCAAGGTGAAGACTTGGGCCACCGCCAGATTGTTGAGGAGCTCAAGCAATAAGCACGCCATCTTCCTTGTTGAGGGGACTGCCCTGCCAACTCTTTCTTCATGTGAAAACAGGACATGGGTGCTGAACCCATGTAAAGGATTGATGTGGCTCCTGTAAAGGATGATATCTGCGATTTGGGAATTGGACCCATACTAAATACAAGAACTTCCCCTTTGTTTTTTTTTTGTTTTTTTTTGCTTTGGATTTTGGCACTCATGGCTGCCGGCAAAGAAAAACGACATGCACAAGCTCAGCAATTCTTCTTATCAAACAAATGGAGTTCAATTAATGCACCACTGGTGACATGCTGATGGCACTGGCCGAATTTTGTTGTTTTGTGTTTTTGAAAGAACACTCTCATCTTTCATTGGTCAATCAGCGCCGACTGTTTGCCCATTGGTGACATGTGTACAGGTTCTGAAGGTGCTGTCACACAGCCAATAAATGCAGTGCATGGTATTGAATCTGCCAACTTGGAGGATATGAGAAAGGAGAATGAGAGACTGAAGATGGAGAACAGCAGATTGGTCCACGAGTGTGACAAGACGAGGAGGCTCTTGGAAGTTTCGCAGCTGCGTACAAAAGGTCGGTGGGCTTTCTTGAACCCTTGTATGCCACCCATTGATCCCAAAATATGAATCATGGTGGGTTCTTCAACGGTCTTTCCTTCCTGGCCTCGTGAACTTGAAATACCCATGTTTGAAAAGGTTTTGGCAATGAAAGTGTTATCCTTTTTAGGGTGGTGTTCTTCCTGTAGCCCTGGAAGTGAAAACCAGTTGGAAAAGGTAACTTGAGGGCTAAGGACAGAAGATGCTGCTTTTTTTTTCTTCAATAAACTAAACGCTCCGATCTATTCTATCGGAGCAGCATGTGCTGGGAACCGGACCCAGTGTCCCTGACTTGAGGGCTAAACATGCAACACATGCAAACAGGCTTGCAAATACGCGGACGCAGGATTGTCTGCGTGGGACAGACATATGGGATCTTAGCCCAATGGACGCATACACGACATAGGACCGACAGGCCAAAGGCCTCTGTGGGCACCGGCGCTCAGGCCCCATTCCCTGCCCCCCCCCCTCTCTATTGGTCGGTGCTCGTGGGGAGCCACATGTGCTGGGAACTGGGCCCAGCGTTGCTTATGAAAACATAGTGCTGGGGACATTACCCTGCTTCGGCTAAAGGGCTTTGCTGGAAACCGGGTCCAGCGTCCCTCTGCTACAGCGTGACATGCACACGTGCTGGGAACTGGGCCCGGCGTCCCTTATGAAACATAGTACCGGGGCCATTATCCAGCTAAGAATCTAAGATGGCAGCCGGTGATAAGCAACCGGACTGATGCCCCCCAGAATAGAAGGGGCTGGGGAAAAAAAAACAAAAAAAAAACAAAGATGGCTGATGGCACTATTTAAATTTGTAGGAAGTGTTGGTATTGTTTGATTGAGGGAACTGTAGATTGGTGCTCGTAACCTTAAAATAAACTGTAGAACTGGTAGAGCAGAAGAAGGATTGCAGTCACTGAAACAGTCGTGGCATGAGCTTCGCCTGGCCGGAGAGCCTCTCTCAGCTCATAGCTGCGGCAACTCTTGTAAGGGACGCCGGGCGTGGTTCCAGGCTTTCATATTAATAAAGATTGATCCTTTTTCAAAAAAAGAAGGAAAAAAAAAAGAAACGTACTGGTAAGAAAAGTATGTTCGGCCTCTGGTGCCATGGTAGGTCCAAGTCTTTCGGTTAGTGGTCCAGGCTCCTCCGGAAAACGCACCAAGTCGGTAATTTGCTTCGGCGGCGGTGGTGGTTTTATGCGACGCCATGGCCAAAGTCGACATACTAGTTCGAAAAGGCTGGTTGTGCCTGGTAGCAACTGACCCTACTGCAGTGCGGTAGCACAGTTGTGTGCAAAATTGAGCATCAGCGGAAAAATGGGTAGCCAATACTAGCCATACTGGTGATGCAACTATACAGTGTCGGTGTGATGGGAAAAAGGGTGAAGAAGATCTTGGCATGTCACTCAGTTCCATTCACTGTATTGTCGAGGCAGGGACTTTGTTCCCTGGCACTCAAAGTGGCTGACCTGTGGAGTCTACTGGGGTTGATGACCTTACGTCTCACCATGAACTGCTTGGGCGGTTTTATGCATCAGCGACTCGCATGTGTAGCGGTGATCTCCTGACTAGCGAGTGTATGCTCGTTCGCGTGTATAGCAACACTGCACTCCACGATGGGAGGCACACTCGCTCGTCCGCGTGTATTGCAAAACTGCACTCCACGATGGGAGGGAGTGAGGACCGATCCTTTTTGTGGAGGGTGCAATGACAGCCTACTTCATTATGTTGGCTGTGTTTGAATGTCTTGCACTGCCCCAGATTGTGCACAGCTGCACTTGTGGCTAAATGGTGTTGACTCGTTGCATCCACAGAGTATTGTAAGTCCTCTGTCAGACGATCTTTTATGCAACTTGATGCGCACCTGGACCAGCCTGGTAGTGTAACGCGTCTGCCCTCCGAATGAGCTGATGGTTTGTAGTGCTTCCCTCCTGGCCATTAAATCACCAGTACGCTTCCCAGCCATTTTTTCAAAGTCGCGGCTTGCATCCTGCGGCAGCTTTTGGGGCTCAGCCTCCGGAGCAAAACGGCTGGCGGCGCCGCGTGCGAGTCGGTCTGAATGCGTACAAATAGTTCTGTGACAGGTGTGTACACTGTGGTGGCTTCTCTTACACCTGAATCATTTTTCTTTCCCCTTGGTGCTTTCGGTTGTCTTTAATGGGAACAGTTGTTGATTTCTCTATGTCACCCTTGTGCGGGGGTTGCTAGTCTTGTCTCTTCCAGTTTTACTGTATGTCATGAAGGATACGTTCCTGTTGTTGATCTCTTTGGTTGCTTCTCCATGGTGCATTGAACAGTAGATGGGCCTCCCTCCACTACTCGTGAAATGTGCAAATCGAGAATGAATCTTCCGCTAGGTCATGGAAAGATACACCGCCATATTTTTTGTCTTTTGTGCGTGTGGAGAGTAGTGGAGCAAGGCGCAATGAACGGGATACATGCGGAGACAGCTTGTCTGAACGTTCTGACAGGTAGATGAGCGCTAGTAGATTTCCTTGTGCTTGCCTTCACTTCTTCTATTCTTATTTTTTCGGTCCAAGAAAACAGAGCCCCATGGCTCCGGCTCCATATCCATTCTGGGAAGCGTCAGTCCGGTTCCTATTCCACTGGCAAGTCAAACTACAAAGTACTCCAACTCTTCCCCGCTTAATGGTAGAGAGACCCGAGTGGGCGGCATTGATTACTTCCAATCTGGAAAAATGTGCCTTCCCTCGCCCCTGCCTAGGTTTGTTTATTGTTACTTACTCGGCCCATGTTCTCCGTCCCATCCTCCTCCACTTTGTCTTTTTATCCATTCTGGTTTCTTTGCTGTGGCATAAAAGAGGTGGCACTGTACTCAAATGCTGAGCATTGCCTTGTTCAGGCTTGGCACAGACTCTGACAGGGCCTGAAGGTGAAAGATTCATTGTCTGTTAGTTGATCATTCGAGTGCGATAGTGTTTGCGGTTTTTTGTTTTTGGTAGCCGGTGCCTGTGTGTGCACTACCTAGTGAATCGCACGATGCACTCACACCAGAGCTTTTCTGACGTGCCTATTCCGGGTATGGAAAAGGGGGTTGAGGGTACAAGTTGAATCACACTGCCTTTTTCCAAGGAAGCCCCTTGTGAACCAAGAAAGCCACCGGCCTGCGTGCGACAGCGCTTTTGACGCTTAGCACTCACTATGTATCGAAGCCGTAGTCATAGTTTAACATATCCATTTGTTTGTTTGTTTGTTTGGTTTTTGTGGGTGTTTTGTTTCTTCTATGAGATTTAAACTCTGGCAGGTCGCTCGCAGGGTTGCCGATTCTGTCGAGTCTCTGAATTCAAGTCTAGGTAGCACAGCCGGATATGTGGCCCATGCTTTTGGTGGGGCCAATGAATCTGGATAAGTCTGACTAAAATTAATCTGGAATCCGTGAAACAGAAAACATAACAAAAACCTGCAAATAAAGGTGTGCATCATGACAATAGAAACAATGCAAGACCAAGCGTTTTACCAGTAGCTGTGCCTCCCATCTACTTCCCCCACACTCCATCGAGTAGCAGCAGCGGCTGCGACCAACAGTCCCCCACACACCACACACGACCCACTCACGCTCATAGACCCTACTAGTACCGATCAGTGGTATCAACTACTATCAAGCAACCTTTTTTTCTATTTTTCTTTTTTTCTTTTTTCTAACAGGCTCCAATCTATTTGTGGGGAGCATCACGTGCTGAGAACCGGGCTCAGTGTCCCTTATGGACTTCTTTGGCTGAGGCTGAGGGTCCCATCGAATTTCCCAACTGGATTGGGGAACGAGCACCTGTGCTGGGGGAAGGTTGCCCGGGTACCCTCCCGGGCGGGCAGGGCCCGGGCAGGGTCCCGAGCAGTGTCCCGGGCAATTGCAGCGCATAATTTTAAAATAATAGAAAATGGAAAAAATCAAAAAAATCCGGGAAAAAATTACAACACAAACAACTTTTGGCTGAGGGCCACCTCGAAATTCCTTGTTAATGAAAACAAAACGCAAATGCCAAAATGAGGGTTTCGCTGTTGGTGTGGGGTGGGTTGGCTAGTATTTTAGCGCTATTAATTTAGGTGTCTTTGTAACTACGGGTAATTACTGATTTACAATTTTTGTATTAATGTTAGGGTTATGTTGTGGCTTAGATTCGGTATTTGTGTTTCTTCTTCATTGTGCAAGGAAAATGAACAACAGCGAAATGACAGTTTCCAGATTGCAAAATAATGGAAGTCTTGTCTAAGGGGGGAGTTAAAACTCACTTACCAGGGCAAGTTGTGTGCTTAGTGCAAGTTCGTGGCCTAGCAGCAGGCCACTGACATTTGTGAGGGCAAATAAGACTTTTGACGGGTGGCTCCCCAGTGTGACTAGACACAGTATGCTGATATTAGGTATTTTGGGCCAGAAGGTGCAGCTCGAGTATGCCCTGAGTAAAATACAAGCAGTTGTACTGGGGCAAAAATCCAAGTTATCTAACACTAAACCACCAGTGCCCCTGGCTCGTTGACAGTATGTGCAACCATATGAGACCTTTTTGCCCTGCTATGACTGGCCCCCGCAATGCGTATGGTGCAGAACGGCCCAAGTAGATTTAGTCAAGTTGAGCAGGGCAGAGCTTGATTCCGTAGGGAGCGGGGTTAATCCTTCCTTATTTGGGCAGCAATAAATGCCCCTTGCCCGTGCTACATCCGTATCGAATAGGGAAGCTGTCTCCATGGGAGCAGTGGCTGAGGCTCTTCCAGCCCTATTGGGAAGAGTTGTGGGTTCACTTTGTATTCAATTGCATAATTTGAGCCTTGGGCACTGGGCCCCTTTCAAAAAAGAAGAACAAAAAAAAAAGAGAGTGAGGATTCCGCAGCTAGCCCATCCAAGGGAAGGCCCTGCCCGCCCTTAGTGAAGGCGGGGCTGCAAAATGAGGAGTGGCCTGAGTACAGGCCAATGTGAGCAGAATGGGGGACCCCAGGTAGCTGCTGGATGTGTGCAGCATTTGCAACTAACCGGTAAACCCAGTCCAAGAGAGTTGAAGATGCTGGCCCTCATGCAGAATCTGGAAGGGCCCAGGGTGCAGGAAACCGGGACAGTGCAGCCTGGGCAGAGCTTCCTCGGCCTCTCCAACGAGCGCAAAAGATTGGAGGGCGCCCTCATTTACACATTCGGGCATTATGGCCATGCGGCAGCGCTGCACGAGCAGCTTCTCGACACTTCCACCGGAGAGGAGCAAGCTGCACGGTGGCAGCGAGGAAAGGGGAGGAGGAAGAGCGGCAGCCACAGCCGGGCTGTTCGCTCCATGTGCAGTAGCGAAGGTCCTTGGTGGAACAGGGAGTGGGAGAAGGAAGCGAGGTAGTGTTATGTATGTACCTGGTTTTGAGAAAGGCAGGCTGTTTGATCAGAGTCTATGAGGGGCATTTTGATGATGACACGTGGACCAGTTTCTGCCATAAGTAGGCTAGTCTGATAGGAGTTGTAGGAAGTAGAGTTAGCAGTATAGCCGCCTGTAGGACGACTACATTGTTGTTGTATTGGTCATTCATGAAGATGAGGAATCTTTTTAGTGATTTTTTTCAGGTCCTAAGCTTGTCATATTCACTTCTGTCTCATAGTTTTGTATATGTATTGAAGTGTATATATCTTCGTAAGTTAATCTTTCATTAATCACTATGAATGGAGGTCATTTAGTACCCAATGCTTGGCAATCTTTTGTTGAAACGATTCATGAATTCGTTCTAAACTTAGTAAATGAACAAATAACTTGAAATAAGTGGTGTACCAGCAGTTAAACAAGGATTTTCTCCTGTCATCTTTGTGGCTGGCGAATAAGTCATCGAGTGCAGGCAAAAACAGGAGAACATGGTGATCTACGGACAGCCAGCTGTTTGTAACCAGATGTGCCCTCACCGTGCACGCCTGTTGTGAAACCTCTGTGATCTGTGAGTTGGCATGGGTGTAAGGAGTGATGCTTATTCAGGATATGAAAGCTTACGGGAAATGCGAAAGTGCAAACGTTTTGAATCACGCATCAAGTTTGTGAACAGAACATTCCATCGATCTCCAGAACAGTAATGGAGCGAAAATTGGATTGTGCTCTGTTGAACCAGTCCATTTCATCGATCTCTAGAAGCGGTCTAGTGACCCTATCCTCTGCTCTCCTGCTCACGCTTCAGGCCAGTCAAATTAGTTGAGTGGATGATCCCACCAATTTTTGGTGCTAAGTCCCCTATGCCGAAATAACGACAGACAATGCATGTGACGGACGGTTCTCAATCTATATCACGTGATGGACGGTTTCTGACAGCCGTAGCGGGCCCACACATTTCCAAACTGCTGCTGCTGATTGGGAGCTCCTGATTCATTGGTTTCCTAATGAAACAGCGTTTGGACGCCGGAGTTAAAGCACCAGTAGCTTTCCCAGCTATTTTGTTGCTACAAGCGGTTAACAGGGTCCCCCACTTTTCAGACCGGGGAAGTGCCTTTCAGGGCTCGGCCTACCGAACGAGAAAGGTTGGTGGTGCCAGATGAAAAAAATGATTTCGGAAGTCCAGGTAGGAAAGAAGAGGCTCGTAGGTACTGGTGGGTTAAACCATTAGTACGCCAGTGAGCCATTGTTGTCCTGTAGCCTGGAACCTATGCAATTTTAGGAATAAGGCATGAAGAAATCATTAAGGCTGGGGCCGTGTACTGATGGTTTAAACCACCTCTCTACGCGCTTCCTGGAAAGTGCCCTCCCTGTGAGTTCGGGCGGGTTTT